GACTGCAGTTCAATTACTCACTGTCTCTCTACACACACATTACCATCCTTTCCGCGTCACGTTTTCCCCTCTTATATATATACCAGCCTAACCTACCAGTAAATACTAGAGCATTCGCCAAAGTACATGATAATTCTAGAAACGTTGCGTCACGTGGTCATGTGACTCGCTGACGCAACAATACTTTGTTTTCGTTACTCTCACTTCTTTCTTGGCTTGAAATAGTCGCATGCCCCTAGACCCCCCTCAGACCAAGAATCTCCCTTCAGTAAATCTCATCAGTTCCACAGTACCCCATTCCATTCGACCATCCCATGGCAATCTTAAATCCTGTTAAGATTATTCCACGCCTCTCTCCTTCCTTCTCATGTTACCAAGTTTCTAAAATCTCTCACGTTACCTATTCTTCCAAGACTTGAGCACTGGTCAGGTAGACTTTTCGACGCCTGATAAGTGAAAGTGGGTTTTCTCGGGGCAGTCAAATTTCCCCCACATCTAATTCTAGGCATTGGATTTTTAGATCCCCCGTCGCCCTGGAGGACCATAAATCCTACAAAGGCTGTTAAACCTTTACATACATCAAGAACGGGTTGAAGAAATGGCCAAAGCTTCTGAACACCCCCACTAATCTTACGAGGCTTTGCCTCGAAAAATTCTATACCGAAATAACTACCAAGAACGAACGAATGAACCCCATAGCATTGGCATGATAATTGTGCTTCGCACCATACGTGTTACCTTTTCATCTCACTAATTAGAACCCCCACTTTCAAACATTCTGCGTATGGGCGTGTCCAATCATTGAATATAAGAATATGTCGGAAATTCTTCATGTATTTAAAATAATTTGCATAGGAAATCTTTAAAGTTTAGAAATATGTTGAAGTATTATATATATATATATATATAGCTTGTAAGTTTTCATTTTACCTAAATATTCCTTTAAAGTAGTTATATAGAAGATAAATTGTATTAGCATTACAAAATTATTTTTTATGAGTTTGTTTGTTTGTAGTTAAGCACAAAAGTACACGATGAGCTATCTATGCTCTGCCAACCACAGATATCGAAACCCGTTCATGTGTTTTTAGTTTTAGTTCAAAA